ACCGCGCGCGAGCCGCACGGCTCTGCGGACGAGAAGATGGCGGGGGAGGCGGGGTTGACGGGCAAAACGCGAATTAGGTTAGGTTACCTCGGCGCGGGGGATAAATCGAGAATGCGTAATGGAACGAGTAACGATCCTGTCTGTTCAGGAGATTTGGTAAATAAAAGGATCGTACGATACGTCAGGGTGCAAAAGCATGGTTCGAAGGGTCAATGAGAATAGTGGCAGGTCGATAGCAATGGCGCCGCGAAGCCACGAAGAAAATCAATCCTGTACGACACGCGACGTGTTTTGACGTGTCTAGCTTACCCGTTCCCTTTTCCGAACGACGCGGTTCAACGTTTGCTTCGGCCGATTGAATTTGGGAGGACGAGAAGTGTCGAGGAACGGAAAAAACATGTCGAGAAATACGAGAGCACTGACGTACCGACCGAGGTGGCCGGAAAAGACGAGGCCGCAGGGCCACGCATACGTACACATAAGTTAAGATCGCGCCGTTACACCGACGCACACGCACGCACGAGCTTAAGGTGGTATCGCCTTTACGTGCAAACGATACCGAGCGAAATCGCGATCGTAGAAAAAAAAGTGTCGTTTTACTTACTTTTGATCACCCGTTCCGTCGTGGAGAGCTTCTGCGAGTTGTTCGAGGTCATGCTGTATCAGGATAGTTGACGGGTGGGCGCCGGCCTCTCGCTCTCTTTTTCAGCACGATCTTGACTATTTCTCTTCTCGCTTCCTCTTCCTCGGTCGCAGGATCCCACTCTTTTTCTCTTGCCGTATCACTCTCTGTCACTGTTTATTTTTTTTTCTCTTCCTCTTTCTCTGACCGTGGTTACTCGCGCGAGGTAGCACCTTCCTCTCGAACGGGGGGTTGGGTGGAAGGAGAGGGCGGTATTTTCACCTCGAGAGCCCGGCGCGGCACACACACATACACACGCACGGAGTGGGGGAGGGAGGAGACGGGGGTCGGAGAGGTGACGGAAGTTATCGCACGGTGCGGCACATCGGTGGCTCCGAAGCGTTGTTCATTGGGCGTTTGCGGAGTGAGAAATTATTCTACCGTGTCCCTCTCGCTCCCCGTGTATTTACCACACCAGTATTCCTCTTCTCCTCTCGTTTCTCCCTCTATCTCTCTCTCTCTCTTTCTCGCTCTCGCTCGTTCGCTCTTGCTGGCTACCTTGCTTCTCTGTCTCCCTCTGGCCCGACAAAAGGTACCACCAACGCCTTTTGCGGGGCGAGTAACTGGATCGCTGGACCACGCGAGCTGCACAGCCCGCACGACGGGGACTCGCAACCGCGGTACCACCACACGACCAGCACTAACGAACCTCCGGTGATACCGTAGCCGTGAAGCGACGACTTTTATACACCGACAAGGTGGAGGTGAACGACAACGATCGCGGCGTGAACACAGGGAGAACGATCGCGACCCACGACGACGGCGACGGTGGCGGCGAATACGACGGGGAACACGGCGACGACACCGTAATGACGAACACCGCGACACGAAACCGTGACACCGACACCCACGGTCGAAAACACCACGCCGCTAAATTCTACTACAAGATGTCTGTCTGTCTGGCTCTCCGCGGCGCGCACACTGACGGCTCCGCGGCTACGAGACGCTCGCGCACCTCTCACGCGCAGCGATCATTCGAGAGCGCTCATTGGCGGCGC